AGTAAATGTGAAATTAAAGATGATACAGAGGATGATTGGCAGAGTGACAGATGTCAGTCAGAGCTCAAAGGACCACCCTCGCACCTGCTGTACAGACATGAGAGAGAAAAGACACGAGATGGGTTAAATTGGCATTTTAGCTTACAAACACAAATAAACATGCAGCATGTACTGTATACTGCATGCTGCAGAGACATGAAAACATGATAAATAAATGAGCGGGTTTGACTCTTAACTTTTATAAAGAATATCTCTTTGGATTTGAGACTTTAGTCTTTGCAACTTTACAGATCTTCTTTATGCACCAAGAGCTTGTAACACTCCAAAGAGAAAGGAAAAATTGAAATCGCATCATATGACCCCTTTAAGAAGTTGCAATAATTGGTTGGGCAACTGGTTCATCTCTGCTTATCATCTTTCCATTTGTATCTCACATTTAACTTAAAATGTGACTTTATATCTAATTGTGACTTTATATCTCAATTTTATTTGCCACAGTTTTGGCATTATATAATGACTGACTATATTTTGCACATTGTGACATTTTGAATTTATATGCTACAAAATTGGCCTTATATCTCACAATTGTGCCTTATCAATTAATAATAATAATAATAATTCGTTGCATTTATATAGCGCTTTTCTAGGCACTCAAAGCGCTTTACATTGTCAGGGGGTATCTCCTCATCCACCACCAGTGTGCAGTATCCACCTGGATGATGTGACGGCAGCCATAGTGCGCCAGAACGCCCACCACACACCAGCTTATTGGTGGAGAGGAGACAGAGTGATGAAGCCAATCTGTAGATATGGGGATTGTTAGGAGGCCATGATGATCAGAGGCCAATGGGCAAATTTGGCCAGGATGCCAAGGTCACACCTCTACTCTTTTAGAAAGACATCCTGGGATTTTTAATGACCACAGAGAGTCAATTGTGACTTTATATCTCAGTTTTGACTTTTTATGCAACGATGTGACAATCTCACAATTTTAACTAAATCTCACACTTTTTTAACTTTATATCTCACAATTTTGACTATATTCCACAAACTGTTTCATAGTCACATCATGTCTTAATGTCAGTGTGACATTATCTAAATTTTGACTTTATTTCTCACAAATTTAAAGGGGACATCGGATGCAAAATTCACTTTTATATGGTGTTTACATAAATGTGTCTTTAGCAGTGTGGACACAACCACCCTACAATGATAAAAATCCATTCACTCCTTTTTTTTTTAAAACCCCAAAAACCTAAGTCGTCTCAATTATCAAGTCGTTTTGATTTTCTGAGCAGTATGACATCATACTGCTCAGGCCCCGCCCACGACCACTGACGGACTGTCCCGTATTAGCATATTTCCGCCCTTAGGCAGTTGTACGCTGTCCGCCATTTTCTCCGCGCTTGAGCAGTTGTTGCGACAACAACGTCTCGTAAGCAGTGCAGATGTTTTGTGGTTGGATGTAAAAGTAAACATAAGAGTCTTTATTTTCTCCCGACATCAGAGCCACTGAGGACGCAGTGGATTCGTTTTATTTTTGATGGTAACGCGCCTCCAAAATACACAAAAAATTAAAGAGAGGGGTGTGGTGAGCAGTAGCTCATTATAATTTAAAGAGTCATGCACAGAAATGGGTCGCTGTGAACAGAGCTGTTTTTGACAAAGTAAAAAGGGTGTTGTTTTACACAACCATTGTGGAATTTTAAACAAAGTGTGTTACAGACATTTCATGAAGGCCCTAAGAATTATACCAACTTTTGGAAAATGGGCATCTGATGTCCCCTTTAAACTTAATATTTAATTTTGACTTTGTATGCTAAAAAAGTGACTCTATCGTCACAATTTTGTCTTTATATCTCAAATTTCTTTATATGCCACGAAATTGACTCACTATTATGACTTTGTCATAATTTGTCATAGTTTTGACATCGTGCCACAATATGACTTTATATTTTACATTTAACTATATTCCACAACTACTTAATATCTCAATTTTGATTTTATACGTCACAAAAGTCACTTATTCTTACAATTGTGACTGTATATGCCACAATGAGAATTTATCTGACAAGGTTGACTGTTTATCTCATAATTTTAACTTTACATACAACAAATTTATTTTGAATGCCACAAAATTTACATTCTTTTTCACAACTGTCACTTTAGATGTCACAGTTATACATTTATTTACAAAACAATGTGACCATTTAGAATTTTTTTCCCCCTTCAATTACCTTTTTTTATGTTTGACTCTGAGGTGAAATGGGTTTCCATTCATGTGGTTGAGTCGGTGACTTAACAATGACTGAACAGACAGTGTTTTTTTGTTTTTTTTTTGCAAGGAAACCAGTTTCAGACTGGCCTCCAAGGCACCATAACATCGCATCTAATGATCTAGCACAAATTTAAGTGAGCTTTAGAGGTTAACAACTTAACAAGCAAATATTTAATGACCGCACGCACCTTGTCTTTAAAACCCAACGCTCTGGGCAGGGTGCTCAGAAAACAACACAATGAATGTGTATGGCTGTGTTAATTTCCCAGTAGAAATTGAATCATAAATTGAAAAATCAAACAGTATTTTTACAGTTTTGGTCTCCACCAGCGACTCTTTCCTAAGATAGAGAAATGTCACCAACTCTGTTGAGCCCTAATAGTCTATATTCCCCTAATACATACATATACATTTGCATATGTTCTCAGAGGTTGTTTCGTTGATGAATGGCTCTCAGTAGAATTGAAAAGTGTGTCCGTGTTACAGCCCTCACGAGAGGCATCTGTGACCTGCCTGGCTGCTGTTATGAGGGAAGGAGTTTGCATTGTTTTTTTTGTTCTGTTTGTTGCTCTGTGATTGGATCGACACTTTTTTTTTTATGAGTCACACACCTCTACGATCTTTCATGAATAATGTGCAGCATGTATACACACAACTGTGCTGATGAATATCCCAGCCTGCACGCTTCAGGCCCAGAAATAGAGTTTGATCAGGTATGAAGCACTTAGAGGAAGAACCGGAGAGAGACGGCCATCTATCAAACCCGAGGAGAAGTGATTCCCCAAGATTACTTTTCCCCACTCTCTCTCACTTTTGCCATCTGATCTGGACGATTTCTGTTTATTTTTCAGCACGAGAAATGTCAGGCCATCGAATCACGCAGACCGGGTTGGGGTGCACGGCACAATATTTCCCCATGATTGATGATGCATATTCCTGTCGCGTGTCACCGGTTATTGTTTTCCTGAAAAGCAGTCACAGATGCAGATGACTTCATATCGAGCTTCCGTCTCACCCTGCCGTATGTGTTACCTGCCCTCGTGGTTGATGTTCCCTGGCGTTTTTTTGTCTTTCATTAAGCCGTTGTTTCCTGTGCCAGGCCTTTGAAGTGATTGGAAAGGCGAGTGTGGGCAAAGAAGGGAAGTGCTAATTCATTAGTGGCTGGCGAATGAATTCATCAGACAGCCCGGCTTTATGGCTGCTTGTCAACGTGCCAATCGGAGACGGTCAGAGACCACAGAGCACTCAAACGTATTCTCTCTCATTACCATTAACGTCCTCTCAGCTCATAACGCTACCGTGACATTATGTTTGACAGCTTCTGATTCCCTCGTCACATCTAATTTGACCATTGATGCTTAACGCATGTGCTCACAGACACTTGTCAGCTTGGGGTTTATTTTTTAATTTCATTTTATATTTGTTTATCATACTGCCTGTCTTGTTTATATGATCGCAACTGGTTTTGGAAAAAAGCTGTAAGCTACTCGACCGATGCATTTCACATAAGCTCTCAGCCGTTACATTAGAGTCTGTTCTATAGACAATTAGCTGTTGCCAGTGTAATGTGTCTAATTATTGTCTGATGGTTGTGTATATTAACTCGTTAGTAATTTCTTATTACATTTTGGGCCATTTGAGGCACCTGCTGGAATATTAACATCTCTCACCAAGAGATGAGCGTGTGAATTTTTTCAGTATAGCATACTAACATACTCCTTGCAATATATTTGTGGCATGTGTACTGTGCATTGTTTGCTAAGTTTGTTTGCATGGAAAAACAGGATTGCCTATATTTGCCAACATGTGAACAGCAAACACTCCTGGGAGCACTGCATCCCACAATGCAATGCACTCAACTTGACCTTTCCAGTGTGGCGAATGAACCAGCAGTAGCATCCGATTCATTATGCGATTGGACTGCCAGCATCAAGACATGCTAAATATATTCATGTTTTGTTTTTGATTGGTATAAATTTTACGTTATATTATTAATAATTACAATTTATATAAAATAAAGTACTTTATAATACATATTTTAAGTAATGTTTTATTTTATGAAAAAAAAAATATATAAACTATTGTAAACTTTTAGTGTTAATTAAGCTTAATTTTTTAATTATTTATTTGTTTATTTACATTCAGGTGTTTTTTAGTGTCGCTGAAGTGTCCAAAAACATTTTGGGGCCACTGTAACTTATCTAGACTTTCTCATACTGTACGTCCAAAGGAAACGCCATCTATTCTTCCAGTATTACATTCATAGTAATTTTTGAAAATCTATTATTAATATTGGCCTGTGTATTTCAGAGCTTTGCTCTGAGTGAGAATGAATTATCAGTAGTACAGTGGCACTGACCATTCACTCTACCTTCCACTGAACAAATCTTTGTGCCTTTTTTATTTTACTTATACTTTTAAATTAATGAGCTTGAGGAATTATGTAATATTCAGTGTTAACCGTTTTGATACTGTAATTTTTGTTGTGCAAATGATTTGTGGTATGGATTTTGTACAAAACAAAAAAGGAAAAAAGTTTGATCGATGCACATATATTGGGACCTGCAGTTCTCTTTGTTTTCAGCTTTGTGTGTCTCTTGTGATGTCCTGTAAAATAGATATGATGTGTATATACAGTGTACATTTTTAGCTGTATGTATTGTTTGTTAGTTAGTGATGTTTTTTTCTGTTTTCTAATCTGCTTTGTGTTTGCTGTCCTCAGCTGAAGGCTGTGTATGAGAAGATGGAGCTCCAGCAGAGAGCGATGTTGAGTCCCGGAGGGAGTGTGGCGTCCGGTCGCTCCAGCCCTGACCCTTCTGAACCTGAGCTCAGCTTCCTGCAGCCCTACCTGGGCAGTGAGATAGAGGTTACCCCCTCCACCCTCAAATCAAGTATGTCAGTGCTGGAATTCACATGTCCTCATCAATCACAAAGAAAAAGATGATAGATATGTTTAGCATGTTCCACCAAAGAATCATGTCAGAATTCTATTCTATTCTATTCTATTCTATTCTGAATAGATTTTTCTGCCAAATAATTACAAGAACTGTCTTGGATCTTATAAGTTAGATGGGCAAAATGAAATTGTTGTTGATGTTTTAAAGCCTTATTCAAAATACAATTATAAATTATTATAAAAAAGTAAAAGCTAATGTAGGTGAATGAGGTATGTTAACTGTGGGTTCAGTTTGAGTCCCTGAAGCCTCTAAGGGTTAAACAATTCTTAGTTTCCAACATGCACAAGTGTCTTTAATTTCCAGTGACCACAGACTGACTGAATGGAGAAAACATTGGAAAAAATAGAGTGTGTGTGGTGGTTTTAAAGTGTCTGTTACACAGTTGTAGATAGTGAGTGTGATTTGTTTTCATAGTTATGTGTGAACTTGTGTGCATGTGTATTAGCAGCCCGTTATTGAGCTGATTTAGTGTGTGCATGTGTGTATGTTTGTGTTGTTTAGTGTTAACCCACTGTGCTTTGTATAATGTTTTGGAAAGACACTAGGGTGAGTCAATGATAACAGAATTTTCACTTTTTGGATCACTATCCCTTTAAGACTTGTTAGCGACCACCCATAATTCCCTAGCAACTACTCAGCAACAGATTTGTGGCTATCAAAGTGGCTAACTCTCGCTCAATGTTCGACTGTCACAGCTGTATCAATTCAAATAAATGCAAACGTTATACTTGCCATTTCTGAATACATCATTGTGACTGCTCACTCAGCCTTGCCCTGGCTAACCTTTCCATAATGCCCCTCTCTGAAGCCAGACTAGAGGCAGATGTCCCTGTGTACACCTCAAACATTGCCATGACGTTACATTACAAAAAAGTCCACTGTCAGCTGCACACACAATGCTCGTCTCGTTCATTTGTCAATTAAATGATGCCGGGGACAAAGGAACCGTGCCCAATGTAGTTTAGTAGCTGTGCCGTAGTGTCTGTGTGTCAGCACTTGGGATTTGTTGTTGAAACACAGCCGGGGCGATAGGGAAGTCAAAAAGGAGTCTTATTGAATCAGTGGCACTAAAGAGGAGGAAAGACCTTCATGGGATCAGGGTTAACTTAGTTAGTGTGTGTGTGTGTGTGTCTGGGGTGCAAACAGGAATAACGGCAGCATTTGAATGAGTTCATGCTTGGCCGGACCTCCATTGACTTCAGAACAGTGTACACTGCTAATCTTGTTAGTAGATGTGGATGTTGTCAGTTTAAGTTGCTATACTTGGAGGGCAAAATTGTCCCTAGAAGTTTGCTATAAATGACCAAACATCTTGTTGAATTTTACATTTTAAAAAATGTATATGCATCAGCTTTACAACATTTTGTTTTATTATTTTCCTTTTTGTATTTTGTAATTTTAGTGTTATTTTTTTGTTTATTTAATTTGATCATTAACTCATTTTGTTTTGTTTTGGCAGAATTTATTAATTAAATATATATTAATTTTAATATATAAAATATAAATTATATATATATATAAAACATAGCATTTATTGATTTTTAAAAAAAATAAAATATTTAATAATGCTTTAATAATATTTTAATTTATTTTTATTCTAAAAATGAATTGGGTTAGTTTATAGCGATTATAATGAACTTTATATGAAGCTTTATATCTGAAGAGGCCAAAGAAAAGGTTCTGCTGTCAATATGTGTCACTTTGTTGGAATGATTTCTTTACTTTCCTTATTGCAGGTGAAAAATGAAGTGATTTGTTGTTCTTTTCGCTACACCTAAAAAATAGAAATATTTATTCTCAAACATTAATTTGATCCAAAACTCTGTCAGCAGTAGTGTCTGCAAGCAGTGGCTGTGTTGTTGTAATAATTTTTTAAGAGAGTGAGCTGTTGTTTTGATTCATGATTAGCAAAAAATTTATCTTACTTAATTGCTTTATTTTGCAGTTTTCCAACAGTGAGTCTCTGAGAGTTAACCAGAGCAGCCTGTACAAAAGCACAATGAGATTCCCCTCAACTAAAAAAAAAAGAACTTCTAAGCCACATTGGTTTTTATTCAGTCAGGGCGCGGAGCTTAAGAGTGAGTGACAGGCAATGACTGCTGAATGAAGATAGGTACAGAGGGGCAGTGGGTCACCGCTCAGCCTGTGGGTCAAAGACATACATTAAAGGGGTCATATGACGTTGCTAAAAAGAACATTATGTTGTGCATTTGGTGTAATGAAATGTTTTCTAAACATTATATATGTATAATAATAAATAAATAAATGTATTTATTTGGACACATTTGTCCCCATAAAGTTGATTAGGGTTGTAAAGGTATGAGATTTTCACAGTATGATAATCGTCTCAGAAAATCACAGTATATATTGAACAATAATTCTTATCAGTAACAATGACTCTTAAAAGAACAAGAGTAAGTTATTTGAGTGAACAAATCCTTTATTACAACAAACTTGAAACCATTTTAATGAAATTATCGAAGACTCCCTTCTGAAAAAATAAATTAATAATAAAAAAATAATAATAAAATAAAGCTGTACACCTTATATATATCTAAATCACACTTTAACATTTTAATTAATGTTTTAAAATGTTATTAAATGAAAATGTACAGCTTTATTTTTGGCAAAGTTAAAACACGGACAAACACGATATTCCTTGAAAACAATGTTTAAATTATTTTATTATAAAGAATATTATTATTGTTGTTATTAAAACTTTGAAGTACATTGTACAATGCCAATATATTTCTGTCATAATTTAAAATTAAATCAAACTTTTATTTTGACGGGTTGTAGCAGACCTTTGAGTTTCAGAGTGTATTTGACAATGTTTTTTCTCAAATAAAACTAGGAAATGTTTATTTACGTTTTCTCTCTGAGCAGCTCTGCTGATGTTCATATTTATGTATCTTAGACGCTGAAAACACCATTTATGTATGCGTACTTCAGTATGCAGTATGTTAGATAAAACGGCACCACTCAGAGACATGCAGAAACAAGCAGATTATTTATATAGCAGTCTCTTTGCGCTTTAATATTCACAGACACATATCATAACTACTTTTGACTTCTCCATCCATCAGATTGCGCGTTTTACGTGACATCCTCGTTATTCTGTAAATTCCATGTTCACGACTGCACTGGGATTCCCTCTGCTTCATGGAAATCATACGGCCTTAACTTATAACTTGTTATTAATGCGACATACCGTTATCGGCATGGAGGGATGGTGTCCGCGAATATGAGCGAAGATGTTGGATGTATTGCCTGCTCTTGCAGCCACTTTGCGTCCAAATTTTTTGCAAATTGGATACGTCCTCAAGGACAACCCCGCGGTTTTTTTTTTTCGTACTTTTTAATTCTCATACTGCAGATATTAACTTTTTTTTCGGCAGGGATGGAGATTAGATATTATCTCTGTCTCTGTCATTTTCTCCGCTGCACGTGCGTGTAAGCAGCCAAGTGAATGCAGAGTGAAGCAGCCGAGCGGAAATTAGTTGCATGTGTGCGGGTGAGATTTTTTATTCATTAATTTTTTTTAAACCGTAGATATGCTAATGTTTACATTATGATAACCGTGCACGGTCAAACCGTGATAAACCGTCATCCTGGTATATCGTTACAACCCTAAAGTTGATGTATATGACAAATATATTTGTCATATATGATATGATTTCCTTTTTTTAAATTCATGACATTACATTTTTCCGATTATATAACTTTTTTTTTGAAAGATTAAGCTTTACAATGTTTGCATTTAATTTTTTTAAATTCTAAATTGCTTTTATTTTACGGATAGGGGTAGTTTATACTAGTTATAAATGGGTCTGAAGAGAAACACCTTAACCATTTAAAAGCATATAAGCTCGTTTTTCTTGTGAGATGATGATGCATTCAAAGATATGTGGTCGGTTGTCATGGGTAACACATTCCAACCATGGGTGTCATATTAGTGCGGTGTACTTTAAACAAATTAAACCTGCTGTCCATGTTTACTTAGTCAGCGCACAAGGAAAGGATTGAGGAAGGGTTTTTTTCAGATGTAATTATGGAATGGCGCTTTATTCTGCCAACCAGAGACCATGAGTTTGTTCCTGCTCGAGCCGTAACAGTCCTCAGAAACAGGGCACATCTGTCTCAGCTCTGACTGTCTCTACGGCACGGTGCTATGATTGCAGCGGCATCGATCCCTCGATCCCCACTCGTGCTCATTACACACACACACGCTCTCTCTCACGGCTCCCAGCAGCACCTGAGGTGGCCACTCATACCTGTCAGACATTGATTACCAATAAAACAGAATTACAGGTTAACAGACTGTCGATCGCAAACGTCTCTTCAAATTTGGTTCTTGGTGCAAGCTGGTTTTCCTTTTTTTTCTTTTTTGGTAACGTTCAACTGCTCTTGACTGAATATTTTTATTTTTCTCGTAGTGACTTGCCACAGATGGGAATAACCGCAGCATAGAGCCGTGACAAACAGATGACGCCTGACTAAAAGAATGTGCCCACTTGACCCCATTTCACATGACAGACCTCTCAGGGGTCAAAGGTCAAGAGGATTCGCCATGCTGTCCTTCATCCTGGAAGTTTAAACCCAGATTTGAGAGCAGTTTTCTTATCACCTTTACAATGCTTAGGGATTGCAGTTGAGTGGGAAACATTCTGAGGCGTGTTGTTAACCCTCTAAGCGCCAAAGTCGCAAAATTGCGACAAGACGTCATACTTAATAAAATAGACTGTAGTTCCTGATATGGTGTAATATCTCATTTGTATTCCCTACCACTAGATGGCAGACATGTAGCACTTCGATTCTAGACCAAAATTACGTCATGTTCCTATTCAAAGTGTTTGAGGAAAGAGCAGAGCAAGTGAGCTATCGTGTCATTGATGCGGAAGTAGTTCAGTTCATAGCGTGCAAGTAAATTGTGA